GGTAACCATCTGAAGGTAATATACACTAAGAAAAGTTGAAAATGACGTGACGAGCAAATTTGTAATTTTAAAACATCACTATCCTGTCTCAGTGGAAAGAAAAGTAAATTTTTTCTTGATTTTGGGATTATTCTCTGCTTTGTAAGTCCCATCACAATGGCGGTTTTATTTTTTTGACAGAATTGGAACTTTGACAATTAATTAATTAATTATTGTAATTGGTATTATCGACAAAACAATAAAATTMTGCAAAGATTTGTTGCTCTCATTCATGAAAAATAATAAAACTTCAAAGCGTGAGSTATTATTTTATTAATAATTAATAATGTGATAAAATAAAAATAATAATRGGTAACGTACTAAAAAAAAATTGAACTTCAGACTCGAGCCCGCGGAAACTATGATCTATTTCGTGTGTAATGTGGCAGGTGGCACTAACTCAAACGTTAGGTTTGCTACTCGGATTTCCAACACCGTAAGGATGTTTTCCAAATAAGTTGGATTAGGAAAGTYGTGTCACTTTCAACTTTTCTGAGTGTACCTATGGTTTCAGGTTTTWAAAAAAAWTCTACGAAATACTAAGTTACAAGCTGATGCCATGGCTATAGAATCAAGAAGCGGATCAACATTGTTTGTTTCAACAAAACATTCTCTAAATTTTGTACCACASCGTAAAATATCAACATCTGCTTTACAGTACTTAAGAATTTCWAATTGCATGTTAAGGACATAAATATTATTGATTTGTTTATTATACCATTTTAAAAATTCTGAATKTGCAGCAGCTTTCATTGTGTCACATCCGTAATAATTTGAAGCAGGTATAGGGCCTACATACATAGTTTCCATACTCAGAGGTATTGAAAAAAATGAGGAAAATAGTTTTTTTCTCCTTCAAATTTAAATACTTTTGCTAATTGAGCCARAGGCATTTGTAAAAAGTTAAGGCTATCTATAAATTTAATTGATTTTCTACATTTAGTGCTCATTATTTTACAGCCTGTACGAATTACTTAGGKATTCCATCGATTTATACTTTAAATAGACTTTGGAAGATAAAACAACCGTCAAACCCTTTCATATTGTGACTTATAGCAATAACTGATTTGTTTTTGTACATGTAACAATGTATTTTAAAATATTATCAATAGGGTTCCACGGTACGGATACATTGTCATTAGTAATACAGGACGAACAAGATTGTCGTGCAACGCATAAATTRGGTTCATGTAAAAATAAATTTTCAGAGATTGTTTTATCTTGAATTGTCTCAAAATCGTAAAACATTAATAAAAAATGTGATTTGTTTGAGTTGTTGTCTATGTTATCAATTTTACAGGGGTGCATACGATATAACAGTTGTGCTRATTTGTTTTTACTTGTTGACAAACGTAACAATATTTACTCCCACAAATGTGTTKTGATTTTCCTTTTCTATTCCAAATATTTTCAAAGCAAATAGCACAACGAATTAATTTTTCACACAATTTACTGTTATTGTGATTATCTAAACAGTTTTGATCTATAAAAACGCGATTGCATTTGTTATATTTAATCTTATCCTGCTGTAATATRCATGGCAGTTTTTGATGACAAGGAAAAATGTATGGGCAATTTCGGTGACGATCCTTGCTATTAAATTTTATTCGGCACATTTCACAAAAATACAATGTCGTCGAAAATGTACCAGTTAAACTCGAAATAACATTGAAATGATTATTTTCCATTATTAAATTTAAGCACTGT